GTGCTTAAGGCATGCAGTGCTGGGCTGGGAATGGCTGCTTTCTGTTTCAGCTGATAATGAGAGCTGTCTAAATGCTTACTTAGCTTAATGGTTTATGTAGTGATAGAGTGGGTCTGTCACTTTCTGTATTTGAAGAGCTGCAGATAGATGTTGAGCCCGTGTTTGGGGTGATTGTTGGATCACCACACTGGTGGTGGTTACAGTGCCCAGCTGTACCTGCATGGTGCTGGTGTCCCTCAGTGCTGCTTTGAGGAGGCCTCTGCATGGCCTGGCAGAGGAGAGCTGCTTCCACCTGGGAATAACTCCCCCTGTTTGCCAGGCTGCAGGGATGGAGTGGGGTTTGAAACAGGCCAGTGCCAGGATCCTGAGCTCTGCAGGTTGGCACAGCTTACCAGAACCCAAATCACTGCGTGATGAACTACTGGATACAGGCTGGAAGCATCTGGAAACCTTCAAACTGCACATTTAGTGTCCTGGAGGGGAGCTTGTATAACCCAGCTCTCAGTCAGAGCTCTCCTTTAGTGCTTGTGTCTGGAGCCCTGCCTGCAGAGTGCATTCCAGGCTGTCCTGTGCTGGCTTGGTGCTGTGTGTTCCTGAGGCAGGAACAGGAATGTGTTCCAACAGCTGATCCATCAGCTCAAGGTGAATCAGCATCTTTGCTTGCCTTTCAATTCTTAATGTGCTCATCCACCTCTGTCAGCTGAAAAATGAATGAAGGCTGCAGGTTCTCCATCCAGCCTGGGCTGTACTGGAGCTCACCAGCTGATCCCAGCTCTCATTCCCACCTGACAATTCCATCAGAGTCCACAGCATAGAGTTCATTCAGTGGGTGTCCATTTGTTAAACAGATGTGTGTGTATTCCTGATAATTCCTCCTGGGGCTGCTCACCAGGAAGCTTTTTTGGGGGGTTTTAAGCAGTCTCTCCTTTTCATGTGTTTGGTTTCCATGCACAAAGGCCTTTCCTGCTTTTTTAGGCACGGTGATTCACTGTGAGACTTGCAGTTATAAAACAGCTGTGGAAGATTTTGGTACCATTTGCTCCCTCCCAATTAAATTTGGCTCATTAAAAGCATCCTTTCTGTGTTTCTGTGCCTGCCAAGCCATGAAGCCAGCCCACCAATATGTTCATATATTGCTTGCTGCAGTAGATGACAGTCAGGAAATTGGGAAAATTCAGTTCCATCTTCCTGTGAATAAATGAAGGCTGTGCAGGGTGGTGCTGGTTTGGGAAAGGTCTCATTTTGAAATTCTGCAGGGAAACAGCAGGAGAATTAAGTGGTAACACATTCAGGAAATCAGGGTGTTGGAGTTCAGGGTGCTGCATGCAAAGAGCTGCCATGGCACAGAGGGAATGGTCTGGGATAAAAACGGCTCCTTTAGATTAAGTTTCAAATAAATGAACCCCAGCACTAGCAAAATGTAGAATTTTGTGCTTCATAACTTCTAATTTGGGCCTGTTCAATACAGAGCTTCTTCAATTAACCCTTTTCAGTTGCCCAGGTATTTGTTGGCCTTCTCTGGTTTGGTTATGTTGGGCTTTGCTTATTCCATTCCTTCCAGGTCCATCAACTGCTGCTTCAGGAGATAGCTGGACAGGTTAGGTGTTATCAATAGAGGTTTGTTAAGTTTGTTTTTCTAGGTTATTAATTCTTGATGTAGCTAAAATAGTAACATTTACTCCATGTCTGTGCTGGGGAAATGAACTAAAGATGCCAAAGCAACTGGAGGGAGGAGAGAAGGATAATCTTCAAAGAACTGTTTTATCCCAGCACTTAAGATTTTTTTTTTTTTTTTTGTAAATTATTTACCAGATCAATTTATTTATGTCTGGGCAAGGGCAGTGATTTTGGGGGAAACACAAGAGCTTTCCTTTGGGAACATAAAATGCCAAAACAAAGTCAGAGTTCTGGATGAACCTGCGGAGAAGTTGAGGTGTTGTGTTGGGAAGGGGTCACCAGTGCAGGTGGGTTTGCAATAATTCCCTGAGAGCTCAGCCAGCCCCTGCCTTGGGAGCTCTGTCCTGGCTCAGGTGAGGAGCAGCAGCCCTGCAGGGGAATGGCCAATCTGTGAGGATGAGGAGCAGCAGCTCAAGAGGGGAAATGGCCAATCTGTGAGGATGAGGAGCAGCCCAGGAGGGAAATGGCCAATCTGTGAGGATGAGGAGGAGCAGCTCAAGAGGGGAATGGCCAAACTGTGAGGATGAGGAGCAGCCCAGGAGGGAAATGGCCAATCTGTGAGGATGAGGAGCAGCCCAGCAGGGAAATGGCCAAACTCTGAGGATGAGGATGAGCAGCCCAGCAGGGAAATGGCCAAACTGTGAGGATGAGGAGCAGCCCAAGAGGGGAATGGCCAAACTGTGAGGATGAGGAGCAGCAGCCCAGCAGGGAATGGCCAATCTGTGAGGATGAGGAGGAGCAGCCCAAGAGGGGAATGGCCAATCTGTGAGGATGAGCAGCAGCCCAGCAGGGAATGGCCAATCTGTGAGGATGAGGAGGAGCAGCCCTGCAGGGAAATGGCCAAACTGTGAGGATGAGGAGCAGCAGCCCAGCAGGGAATGGCCAAACTGGGAGGATGAGCAGCAGCCCAGCAGGGAAATGGCCAATCTGTGAGGATGAGGAGCAGCCCAGGAGGGAAATGGCCAAACTCTGAGGCTCAGTGGGTGAGAGGCAGAGCAGGGTGAGCCTCCAGACCCCTCCTGGAGGGCAGAGCCCTGCTGGCCCCAGCACCCTGTGGTGCTTTGCACTGCTCAGGGCTGTGCTGGGACAGCTCTGGGGTGGACTCTGGCCCTGGGAGCTCCTCTCCCAGCTCTCAGCAGTGACCAGCTCCCTCCTGAGCTGTGCCTGCCCTGGAGGAGCACAGGGGAGGTGCTGCTCCCTGGCTCTGAGCTGGGCTTCTGTGCTGACATCTTCCTTCTTCTGGTTGCCCTCACTGGAAGGCTGGGCTGGAGCCAGGCTCGTGGCAGTTCTCAGAGCCTCAGTGTCACTGCTGGTGGTGGCAGAGGGATGTGGGTGACCTCAGCTGGGCACAGGGAGGGTGCTGGGAAGGGGTGCCTGTGCTGAGCAGTTAATTGGCTCCTTGCATGGCTGTAGAAGCTGTTAAAATACCTGTCCTGCCTTCCCTGCCTTCAGCAGGAATGGGTTTGGGCAGGGAGGTGCTGCAGTTTCCAGCCAGCTCTGGGTGCCATTTGTCTGCAGCACTCTCCAGGTCAGTCAGGAGGGACAGTGGTAGGAAAGGAGCTGGGGAGGAGCTGCCCACCTGCCAAGAGCCCCATGTTATGTTGAGTTAATGACTGATAAGTTGTTCTTTATGCTTGGCTCGGTTGCCCTGATAAGATGTGTTTCCTTTCTCTTGAGAAATAAATACCTTGTTGGGGTGGTAAGGCCCTGCAGTTATCACCCAGCAGATCTGACCAAAGCAGAGGGAGTATTTTCCTGCAAGGACATAAGATGTCCCCATGTCAGCACACCTGGCTGAAAACCAAGTTCTTTTTCTTTGCTGATGGTGCTCCTGGACTCAGTTCAGAGAACACCTTCTGCCTGTCTTGCCAGAAGCTGCTGGAGGTGTAGAAAGGACAGGGGGGCACCTTTTCCTCCAGATCCAATCTTTTATACTTACAAAAGAAAAAGAGGCAGACTGGGACTATCAGCTGCTGTGTTCATACCAATGCAGCAGAAATGCTTTTTGAAGTGGACAAGTGTTATATCCTGAGTGACCTGCTCAGTACTCTGGGCTCTCAACAGCTGTTAAAGCTTTCTGTTTGTTCTCCCCATCCCTTTTCTCCTCTCAACATGCAGAGGTAAGAAATGTGGTTTTCCTGACATTCAGAAGGGTATTTCCTATTTCTGCCAAACCTGGTCTCTCTTACTCCCTTCCTGAGCTGGTAAAGATGGGAATTTCAGTAGTGACCAAAAGGAACTGAGCATGTGAGGAGACAGCAGTGAATGGAGAGATTGGATATTTTGCTTTCTTCAGAGCAGTCAGTGAATGGAGAGATTGGATATTTTGCTTTCTTCAGAGCAGTCAGTGAATGGAGAGATTGGATATTTTGCTTTCTTCAGAGCAGTCAGTGAATGGAGAGACTGGATATTTTGCTTTCTTCAGAGCAGTCAGGTGTGGTTGCTGCTGGAAGGGCTGGGGCCCAGCAGATTCCTTGGGCAGGGAATACCCAGGAAGGGGAGAGCTGTGCTGTGTGCAGGGAGCAGTGTCAGAGCCTCTGATCCTGAGCCAGGCCGGGCTCCTCTGGCTTCCTCCTAACCCAGTGGCTGCCTGGGCTCCTTCTGCCAGGGCTGTTCTGTCATGAGTCCTCAGGAATAACTGCAGGAATAACCTGGGGCATTTTGGCTGATCAGAAGTGTCCCAGTGAAATCAGCAATGTCCAATTTGTGCTGGGTCCTTCATACTCTGCTTGTCCACTTCTGTGCAGTGTCAGCTCTGCAGGGAGGGTGTGAAACACGTGCAGGGCTGGGACAGGGGAGGGAATGAGTCCTCTGTGGGATGCAAAGGGCTGGTGGCAGGAAGGATGGACAGTTGTGAGACAGGACAGCAAAGCAGAAATGATGGTGCTTTGACAGAGGCTCTTCCTTCATCTTGATTATTTACCAGAGCAATGGATATGATCAGTTCCTTCAAAATGAAACTAACTTGGAATGCACATTTTACTGAAGGAGGTGAACATCAAAAGGTGTCCATAGAGCTGGAACCTGGCAAACGGAAGAGAGATTTAAATGTCTGTGGGAAAGAGATCAGATACTCCTCTTCAAATTTACCTAGCCTTATTATCTTTAAATTACTTTTTATGCAGGTAATTAAAGAGCCTTTTAAGAGAGCTAGAAACCAATAATTTGAATGTAGCATGTACTTTGAGTTGCTCTACAAAAAGCACCTCAATTTTGTGTTAAGATAAATATTCTAGAACCTGTGTAAAGCCTTTCTGTTCTTTATGACTTTATTTCAATACTGTTTACTAACAGAAATGTTTGTTATTTTCTTCTTTTCCCAGACCTATTCAGGGCTGTTCTGTGTAGTCATAAATCCTTACAAGAACCTCCCCATTTATTCAGAGAACATTATTGAGATGTACAGAGGGAAGAAGCGCCACGAGATGCCACCGCACATTTACGCCATCTCCGAGTCTGCCTACAGGTGCATGCTGCAAGGTAAGGAGCAAAGGGGTTGGACACTGCCTGGCCACTCCTCAGTGTCCCTGCAGCTGGGCTTTGCCATGTGCAATCAGGGTTTTAAAGAGGGGAGAGAGCCAGGTTGGTAACTCGCTGAGATGCACCAGCACAGCCGTGCTGCTCTGACCATTGCTGCTCTGGGAGTTGGGTCAGAAACACTTTGTTCCCCAGAAAAAAGAGCCAAGTTGCACGGCCAGAGATGTTGTGCACTGGCTCTGGATGAAGGAGGAGTGAAAGAGTGGGGTTGAAAAGGCAGTGCTGTAAAAGTGTTGGTGTTTGGCAGCTGCCAAATAATCCGAGGTGACAATGGAACAATGGGGGTTTGAGTTCAAAAAGGGGTCAGGGAAATATTGAACCTGGAGGAATTTCATTCTTTTTCTCCTAACTGATGTGTGTCTTGTAGCAGAATAGAGTGGGTTCATGGAGGGCTCATGGTTTGAATTTTGGCTTTAAGGCTGTGCTGGACAAACATGAAAACCGAATCTGATGTGACAGAAACGAGCCTGTGCTGTTCAACTTGCACAGTTGCATTTCTGCCACGGGATTTTGGGAGCACAGCTCATTCCAGTACTGATTCGTATTTAGGGGGCTGCTGGAGGTGTGGGGACAGCAGCATGGTGTGTGTGTAACCAGGAGCCAGCCCTGCACACCTTGCTGTGTGTTGTGCTGTGGCTGAGTTTGGGCTGGAAGGAGGGGAAGAGCTGTTGGACCTACTTCACCCAAACTGAGGGAAAACTGCTTCTGCTGCCAGGTTAAACCATTTAAATGTTAACTTCTGGTTTTTTAGGCTCTTTAGATACATCACACAAGTCTTTGTTTCTTGAATTGTGACTTTGTCTTCAGGGCTGCTTAATAATCAACTGCAGGTTGCTGAGTGTCCTTTCACCTCAGCAGGGCTGTGCCAGCAGAGAGGTGATGCAGGGACAGGCAGGGGGAGAGCAGCAAATTGGGGCCACCAGGAGTTGTTCTGCTTCCCAGTGGATGCCTGGGCTCTGTTTTCGTGTGTTTTTGTGAAAGAAACTCTGACTTCTCGACCAGAGCAACAGCCTCTAACAGCTCAGATCAGAGCACCCCTAATAAGTGCATGTGGAATAATGGCAGGGCAAACCTTAAGATTTATTTTAAGGAGTTTATTGCAGCAGTCTCAAGTGGATTGTGATTAAATGCTTCCCAGTCTGAAAGCACTTCTTGAAATGGTCTCATGAATGCACTGAAATGTCCTTGAGCCAAATGTCCTCTAATAAAGTAAGTCAATGTCAGCAGTCACCACACTCCGGCTGCTCCATATATTTGCTCACATACCCTGCTGGAACTCATTTGTATCTCTGGAGATCTTGCTACATGCACAAATGTTACTATTTTTGGAAGGTGGAATTAAAAAAAAATGCACATGGTGATGTATGTTTGGTTACAGTCCTCTTTTCTTTCCTTCTGATGCATGGAGGTTTATATTTTGTATTGAATCTCTCTGTGCTTGCTTTCTTTTTGGTTTTGATAGCCCGAGTTCTCATCTGAACTAATGAAGGCATAGCTTGGAATAAGAGTAGATGAAACCCATGCAATGGGATCCATTATTTAGGGAATAACTTGTTTAAGGGTAACTAAATCTGTGTTTCTAGTGCCCTTCACCTGTATGGAGCCACTCCCTGTTTGTTTTAGGCAGCATCTGCAGGAGTTGGTGAGTTTCCCATTGATGATTTGTCTGCACAGCTGCATTGCAGGGATAAATAAAAGCTCCAGCCCAGGCATGAGTGCTGGTGAGGGGGAGCAGTGAGTGTTTGTGCCAGGTGGAGTGGGGGGCTCTGCCCCTGCTGCCTCTGTGCTTCCAGAGAGACACTCAGGGAACTTTGTCTCCGTGTAAATAAAACTTGCAGTTACAACAAGCAAGGTTTTGTAGTCATTAGAGCACCAAATAATATTTGTCTTAACAGTAGCACATTATTCAGTTTGTTTCTGGTTATCAGTGGCAACACAAGGTCAGCTACTGAGTGTGCCCAGGGCTTGGTGAGGATGGGTTTTCCCTATCAAGTATTGAACACAATGTGCAAAATGTCTCTCATTTCTTCTAACTCTGCCTTGTGTTTTAGTCAGCGCTCAGTCTTCAGTGAAACACAAAATATGTGTCAGGAAGTTTTGCCTGGTAGAAGTATGTCTGTAACCATTAGCTGGGCTAATCAAAACTCTTCAGATTAATCATCAGAGGTGTCTGCAAGCATTTGTGTGCAGCAGAATCCTTGGCCAGGCTGCTGTTGCTGATAAGTTACTGACACATGCTTGTAAAAGTGTTGCTGTGCAGTTCCTGGCTGTTCTGTGCACGTAGCTGGGGTGCCAGAGAGAGGAGATTCTCCAGGATTATTGAAGTCATACTGCTGCAGCATATCCACAGGTTCCTTTTGATAGGAATGGCTGCTGTGTTTCAGTGTTTGACGTCTGAAGTTTAATTATTAGGATTCAAACCTGAAATTGAAACCATAGGAATGCAATTCCTTTGGAGAATATGACCTTCCCTAATAGAAATATCCTGGCCACTAATCTAGATTAATGAAAGTGGTTGGCTGGATTTTCCTGGCCTGTTCAGTGGTATTTTGTGCAGTATAATCATGTTTATTTTCCTTGCAGCTAATCACAAACTACTCATTTCCAGGTGTTTGTGAGCTGTTTACTGTGATTAACAGGACACCTGGACCTGAGCTGTGACTCTGAGCAAGCTGATTCCTGAAACCACAATTTTACTGTGCTGAGAATTGGGCACAGTGAGTAAAGTGTTACTCAGGTTCTCAGTGCTTTCATGCCTCTAATTCAGAGCATGGAGAGTCACAGCTCAGCTTCCAGTTTCTGCTTTGCTGAGGTTTTGTGTGTTTAATATTTGTGCTTAAATAAGAAAATGGAGATTTTGATTTAAGATTATGAAAGCAAAGGGTTTTCTGCTCAGCAGAACTGGTGTATGTGCATCTCCATAGTTATTCCTTGTTTTTTATTTAGATTATGAAAGCAAAGGGTTTTCTGGTCAGCAGAACTGGTGTATGTGCATCTCCATAGTTATTCCTTGTTTTTTATTTAAGATTATGAAAGCAAAGGGTTTTCTGGTCAGCAGAACTGGTGTATGTGCATCTCCACAGTTATTCCTTGTTTTTTATTTAAGATTATGAAAGCAAAGGGTTTTCTGGTCAGCAGAACTGGTGTATGTGCATCTCCACAGTTATTCCTTGTTTTTTATTTAGATTATGAAAGCAAAGGGTTTTCTGGTCAGCAGAACTGGTGTATGTACATCTCCATAGTTATTCCTTGTTTTAAACATTGCTGGAACACTCTGAGTTTTCCTGAACTGGGGACACAGAGGAATCCCTGCAGTTCTCCATGTGCGCTGTGGTGGAAGAGTCTGTGTGGAAGCATTGCTGCCTGCCAGCCATCAAACCCCACTCTGTCCTTCACCCCCTGAAGAATTTCCTATTTGGGGGGCCCTCCTGCCCCCCTGTCTGCCCAGGCCAGCCCTGCCTGTGCCCTCTGGGGAGGGAGGAATGGGCTGGAAATGTCAAGGACAGAGGGCAGGGGCTGGGGGAGAGCTGGGACATGCAGCATGGGTCTGAGAGCCCAGGTTGGAGGGGATGGATGCCCCAGGCACACAGAAGGGTTCCATGGAGGTGCAGGATTGCTCTCCATGGCTGGGTGTTGCCAGTGAATGGGGCAGCTGAGAGGGAGCAGGGACTGGGGCAGGTTCTGCAGGGAGAAGCAAACTCAGGAGTGCAGGGTCTGCTGAGTGCTGCCCTTGCTGCAGCAGTGCCATTCAAGATGGAGCTGAAGGAGCTCCTGTTGGAGACAGGCAGGACCTGGGCTGCATTCTAGTTATGCCAGTCAGGGTTTCTCTTCAGGAAAAGCCTCATTACCCAGGGCCTGACCGCAGCAGATAATAACCTGCAATTCAGCTTTCCAGACTGGATTTCCCCTCTCTTTCCCCCAGTAATTATTTTTCAAAGTGCTGTGGTAGTAGGGTGTTACTTCACAGGTGGTTTGGTGGATTTCTGCTGCACTTTCCCTTCATTTCCCTGAGGAGGAGGTGAAGCAGGGAGTACCCATGGCCAGGGGTGATGGGCTGGAGCAGAGCCCAGCCGTGGGGTGGGGCTGGGCTGGCCCCACACAGCACTGCTGACATGGTCATAAGGAGTGGCTGTCCTCATCCCTGGGACAATGTTGGCCTTAATTCTGCTTGGTTATACAATTTGCAAGCCTTGCTAGTGTTCCTCAGTCCTGCTCAAAGTGATGGGCTGTGAAAATTTGCCACAGAGCAGGATTTTCTTTGAGAAAATGAATTTTCTAGGGCTGGTAGGGCTGTGACAATATTTTACCAGCAAGGGAGATTTGATGGTGCAAAAGCAGCACTCACAAATTTTCCTCTAGTGCTTTTTCCACAGCTGACTTTCTCTTTTCCCTCTTCCCTTCCAGTTTTCCCACTGGATTTCTGGAGGAAGTGTGGCTTTGTTTTATTGTGCCTCTTTATTCAGTGACCTACAAGTGCTTTGGAGGAAAAACTAAGGAAAACTTACTGACTTTTTGTTGCTAAAGCCCAGCTTGCCTGTCAATATTACTCTTGTATAATTATGCTTAGTCTCTCCTTTTTATCCTGTTTCCCTGAGGACATCTTGATGAGCACCAAATTAGCACTGATATTTTAGGCCTGCCTTTAATCCTGTTGCAGAGAAGGTTTATCGGAAACTGCCTCAGAGGGGAAGGCAACACTTGGGGTTGGAGAAGCCAGAACTGCCTACAGGTGCAATGCTTCTCTCTCCAAAACATCTTCTTGAGCTATATTTGTAGTAAATCTTGATTTAAGTCCTCCCTTGGGGGCATATCCACCCCCAGCTATGGAAGAAAAGAACTGAAACTAAAATAAGACTTTTTTTTCTTTTAAAGGTCTATTAAATCTTCAAATGGAAGAGGGAAAAATTGCTCTGAGACTGGAAAAGTTGGGAGTGATGGTTGAT